TATCAATTACCTGTTAAATTGTTGAAAAAGGCATTTCATGAAGTAAATTTTGAGTTAAAGGATTTTACCTATCTTTCACTGGTTTACTGTTTTAAAGGATTTTACTGCTTCATTATAGCATGCTTTTGTGCCTTACGTGATTTCCTACTTTCAGTTTTTATTTACATTTGTTACTCGCCGATTTAGAGTACTCACTTTACTCCCTGCACCCCGTATGTAGATTCAGGCGTTGTTGATCCTGCCAGTATGAGTTGAGGGCTCCCGACAGACATCCGGAGTTCACGAGGTAGCTGCTTGGCGTCTGTAGTCCTGTGTTTCTCTCTCTTTGTCATTTCTATCTCTTTTTAGACATTTGTAGTAGTTATAGACTTATCGGACTTCTAGTAAGATTTATAGATGCTCATGATTAGTGACACCCCGATTTCGGGTTGTGTTGGAGTTATTTTCCGCAAATTATATTTTTAACTGCTTAAACCTTAGTTTAATTGATTATGCTTATTACTGTTTCTTAATGTTTAACTGCTTAAAGATTGAACTGGGAGTAGTTGGCTAGCCTTGTCTTCATTAGAGGCACCATCACGATTGGGGTCCGGGTTAGGGTTTCGTGACATGGTCGTTACATTGGGGCTTTAACTAATAAAATGACCGATCGGGTCGTTATAGTTTTCCAACATAGGATACACCACTCCCTAGTTGATTGATCTTAAATGCAGGGTACATCACTCTCTGATATCATTACTATTTGATTGAGCGGAAACACATGGTATATAACTCCCTGATATCATTCCTAGACGTAGGGTACACCACTCCCTAGTCTCCTTGCCAATATAAGGTACACCAATCTCTAGCTACATTCTCTAACATAGGGTACACCACTCCTTAGGCTCCTTACCAGTATAGGGAACACCAATCCCTAGTTGTGTTTCCAACATAGGGTACACCATTCCCTAGGTGAGTTGAGCTTAAATGTAGGGTACACAACTCCCTGCTATCATTTCAAATATAGGGCACATAATTTACTAGTTTTTACCAGTATATGGTACACCAATCCCTAGTTGCGTTTTCCAATATGGGGTACACCACTCCCTAGTTTAGTTCAGCATAAATGTAGGGTGCATTACCCTCTGAAATCATTCCAAATATAGGGTACATCATTCCCTAGTTCTTACTAGTATAGGGTACACTAATCCCTAGTTCTGTTTTCAAACGTAAGGTACACCACTCCCTAGTTAATTTGATCTTAAATACAGGGTACACCACTCCCTGATATCTTTGCTAGTATAGGATACACAATTTTCTAGCCATATTTTCCCAACATAAGGTACACCAATCCTTAGTTGAGAAGACAATGAGGAAATACCTTCTCTCCAATAATAATAATAATAATAATAATAATAATAATAATAATAATAATAATAATAATAATAATAATAAATCAAATCATTATGATCTCTTCAGGGTGCACCATTCCCGACACTTTATTGCATTTAATAAAGAATAGTTTAGAATTTTGACACAATAACTCACGAAATATTCCTAGTGAAAACTAGGGAAGAAAAATTTCATTTGTTTGTTTGTTAGCGTCTGAGCAGGCTTTACCTCGAGGCACAGGGTTCAAGACGACCAAAAGAAGAAGTCTAAATCCAGAATAATGAAAAGGAAAGAAAAAAAAAAGTGAATCCAAAATGCAAAAGTAGATGATAAGATGGGGACTGCTCAAGACATGACTGAAGTCACGGGCATTACATTTCCCGTATTGATCAAAGAAGAAGCCGCAGAAGAATAAAATAGCACCTGCAGCTAGCAAGCATCAAGATTCAGATCAAAGTTTGCATGAAGAACCAGGCAAGACTTAAGATCAAGCTTCAGAAGACTTATATATAGGAATTTATTTTGATTTTGGTATAATATAGTTATTTATTTTAATTTTAGTGTAATATAGTTCAACAAGTAGTAATAGCACTAACAGTAGTGTAATCATAGCTTTTCGGTAGTCATAGCTACCAAAACTTCCAGAACTACACTGACCCGATTACTTTATAGCCAAGGATATGTAGGCAACCTCAAAAGTATGGTTCGGTCAAACTTTTTCAAATTTGTTTCTCATAGAGTATCAAACGGGCAAATTTTTTCATAATTGCTTACTTTATCTTTGCTAAAAAACTCTTCATGTTTTCGAGCAAAGAGGGACAGTTCTGAGCACATAATTTTTGTCCTAATGTCAAATTACTCCTAAAAATATTCTAAAATAGCTTTTCATTATTTTATAGAGTTTTATATTTTACTCTTTATATTTTTTTAGATCTTAATCACATGTTAATTACATTATTAAACACAAAATCACAAAAAACAATAATACATTAGTTATTTTGATTAATCAATTAGTCTTAGTTTAATAATTCATAGCTTAATTAATTAATTGTTAGATAAAATAGTGAATTTGTTAATTTTTCAATTTACGTTTTACATATTATGTTAGTTAATTGGTGGTTAAAAATGAAAGAGAGGAAGAAAGGAGAAAGGGATGTTTTGAGCTTCAAATCAGACTAGGCCAACTTTTAAACAACCCAATTGTCAAAGGGATTTTTTCCTAACTATATCATATATGAAACTTTATTACCCTAAATGTGCATAGTTTGTTAATTACCCGCCAGTCCACACTTTAACTACAATTTATATACCATTAGACTATTAGGCATTAAAAGGGCAGAATATTCCCTAAAAACGTGCTAAAATTAAGGAGAGAATCTTGGTGTTAATTGATTCTACATTAAATTCAATTTTTAAAAAGGGAAAGGAGATTTCTCATCTGCGTATTTTTCTCCAGAACTAAAATTCAAATTCTCGAGAAAAAAAAAGAACGAACAATTCAAATTTTCGAGTTTCAACAACTCAAAGTTGAAAAAATCTGTTCTTCCATATATTTTCCACCATTGATAGCCATTAAAAAGCTTGAAAGCTTTGAATTCAAATTTGAATTTTCAAAAATCATTATTTGTTTGGATTGGGTGTTGTTGTAAATAATTCAGAATATGTTTAGGAGTTTTATCTCAATTTTGAGGAGTTTTGGTGAAAATTAGACTTGGTTTTGACTGAATTTCAGATTGAAACTCGAAGAAGAAGAAGAAGAAGAAGACATATTTCCAGAAATTGTAGATAAATTGTAGAATTGTAGATCAATTGTAGATAAATTGTAGATTGGGAAGACTAAAACTTCTACAAATCTTCTACAATTATGTCGAAAATGTCAATTATGCTACAATTGAAATGGGAATTGAGATATTAAAATTCAATGTATCCAGTTTGTCGATATCTTGTAGATAAATTGTAGATTATTTGTATTCTGATTGTAGATGCATTGTTTTCTGTTTTCACAAATCCAAAACGACTAAAGCTTCTACAAAATCTTCTGCAAAAAACAGTCTACAATTTATCTACAATTTTTCTAATTTTTCTACAATTTATCTACAATTTCTACAAAATTACTACATTTATACTACAATTAAACTACAATTTTATGTGGAAAAAAATATTGACAACAAAATTTGCTCTTCATCTACAAAAATCGTCACCGTTTATTGGATTGGTACATTGAACTTTTTCCGACAACTTTTCTGGCAAACGGACGATTACCTACAAGTCTACCACAAGCAACACACCTTCTGAAATCTCCAATAGCGATGGTAAAAAGGAGCAGCGACGGTGGTGCTGACCATGTACTCTTCGATATTTTTTTCTAGTAATTGAAGGACCACTCACAAGTGTACTGTGTACAGCTATCAAATCAACACAGCTTCCGTCAACTTATGCTGGCAAAATAGCTTCATTTAGCTACTACAATTTTAGCAATTATTACATGAATTACTAGGTAAAATGAAATTCATCACCTAGCCAACAACTTATTTAGTATACTTTTTTTTTATGTTTATAAAAATGGATAAAAAAGCAAAACAAAGTAGAATAAGAAAGAAACGAGAAATAGAAATGGATAAGAGAAAGAAATGGGGGGGGGGGGGGAACGG